GTACGACGATTCCTACGGGGCACAGCGGATCCGCCGTCAGCCCCGCGGGGACCCCCGAGCCCCCCCAGACCTTCCCCGAGCCCCCCCAGACCTTGGTGTAGACCCCCCAGGAGAGCTCGGTCTCGGTGACCATCACCACGATGCCGAACATGCCGAAGATGAGCGCGTAGTCGCTCAGGCGTTTGCGCTTCTCGAAGAGCGCGCGCCGGTGGCCCAGCTTGTAGCCGATGTTCTGGTTCCTCCGCGGTTCCGCCGCCCGCTCCTCCGCCGCCTCCCGTCCCGGGGGAAGCGCGGCGGGACCGGGATCGGTCCCCACGGGATGCTCCGGTTGGGACACCACCACCTGGAGACGCGGGCTGGGGCGCAGCGGCTGCGTTTCGCCGTCCGGCGGCTGCGGGGTGCGGCTGGAGGAGCGCAGGGGGACGCGGGGACGTGTCACCCCCCCATTGTGGCGACAGCTGCTCATGGCTCTGCTGGTGACAGCACCGGGAGATGCCGCATGGCTCAGCCGAGAGGGGGTGGCCTGCGGGACAGGGGACACGCGCGGGGGACAAAGAGTGGGTGGCCGGGATGGGGACGTGGGCGTCGCGAATGGATTTGGGTGATGGTTCCTGGACAGGTGAGGTGGCCTCGGTGGGGGTGGTGGTGATGTGTCCTGGCCGTGGGGACATGTCCTGTCCTGGCCGTGGGGACATGTCCTGTCCTGGTCATGGGGACACGTCCTGTCCTGGCCATGAGGACACGTCCTGGCCATGGGGACACGTCCTGGCCGTGGGGACACATCCTGTCCTGGCCATGGGGACACGTCCTGGCCATGGGGACATGTTCTGGCCATGGGGACATGTTCTGGCCATAGGGACACATCCTGGCCATGGGGACACATCTGGCCCATGGGGACACGTCCTGTCCGTGGGGTCACATCCTGCCTGTGGGGACATGTCCCATCCGTGGGGACACGTCCTAGCCATGGGGACACGTCCTGGCCATAGGGACACGTCCTGTCCATGGGGACATGTCTTGTCTGTGGGGACATGTCCTGTCCTGTCTGTGGGGACACGTCCTGGCAATGGTGACACGTCCTGTCTGTGGGGACACGTCCTGTCCTGTCCATGGTGACGCGTCCTGGCCAGCGGTGACCACAGGTCCGTGTCGCTGCCACGGGGGGCGTTGGGGACACTCGTGTCACTGCTGCGGGGCCGTGCCCGTGTCCCGCCCGTGGCGGGGCCACACCGCGACCCCCGCTCCGCGTCCCCGTGTCCTGCCCACGGAACCGCGTCCCGCCCCCCTCGCTGCGGACGCGGCCACCGGGACGCGGCCACCCCCCCTCCACACCCCCCCCGGCGCTGTCGCTGTCCCCTGTCCCCTGTCCCCTCCCCGCAGCCGCGGGACATCTCCGGTCCCGAGCCGCAGCCGCGCGTCCCCGCCAGCCCCGAGCGCGCCGCTCCCGGTGCCGCCGTGCCCGGGGCGGCCGGGGGGGCTCCGGCGCGGTTCCCAGCGCGGCCCCGCCGTGCCCGGTACCTGCCGTGCCCGGGGCCTGGCGGCCGGGCCGGGTCCCGCCGCCGCCGCAGCCCGAACCGGGC